ACTTATAGGCCCATGTACATATTTACACATAAGCGGGTAGGTATTTTGTAGACGATTTATGGTGCGGTAATCCGAAGGATTATCACAGACATTTACAATAAGTATTTTAGCCTCGAAGAAATATCTAGCGTAATAAATATATGCATTTTATCTTTGAAATTATATGTAATGGTAGTAGGCCTATATAATAATGATAATATTAGCATGGTCAAGCTGAATTTATTTATATTAGTAATGAAACCTGATCGATATTGCCTATAGGCAGAAATATGCTCTAAATATATTTTTGTCATACTGCACATCAGAATAACTAATTTAATAGGCCTATATTAAGTTGTTAGTTACTGTATTTTCTTTATATGTCTTCGTCTATCTCAGCAATATTTTATATTGAATTACCTATTTACCAGTAAACAACGTTTCACATATTGACTAATGAAAATGTAGAGCCGATTGGCTGATTCAGGCTTTATTCTAAAGCCTGAATCCAGAAGGCTGGTTTGATATAATATGACTATGATAGTCTATTCCATATAGGCCCATGTACTCTATATATAATTTGCATGAAGTATTATATGTTGGACTATGCACACAATATCTTAGCATGTGTGTGTAAACTATACAACCAACCGGTTCATAAAATATTTGATATAATTATTATATGGCTGTGGTATTGTCATCGAGGCCTATACGCCTATAGTTGGCAATGTGTACGCAGTCCGGTAACGCAAGCGGTACGCTTTTCTCTTCGAGTAGGATTATAATTTCAACGAATTATTACAGATATATACTTTATATTATAGTATTAGCTGCCCAACATAGTACATAAAATATTCAAATTAATAAATTATGATTACTTTTGCATTTAATGGTTGTTGATTAATTTGGTTATTCATTTTTATCTGATCTGCAGAGCGGAAACAGTGTTATTGCTATACGTCCTTTGTATTTTGGCTGTAATGATTAAAAATGCCATGCTGTTATGGAACTGTAGACTAATTATTAATACGTTTTAGCTCTGGAATAATAAGCATTAATGACAAGTTGAATGATAATAAAGTGATGAAAATACTCGTAATTAGTAAGGATAATATAATTATTTAACATACACTGCAGTACCGAATGTATGACACTCGTCTGTTGCATGATGAATTTACAAGTGTATGACAAAAGCTACGCAAATACTAAAATCAACAATTATTCACTGAATTTATTATTATTATTATTATTATTATTATTATTATTACTGAATTATTATTATGCCTATTATCATTACCATTATTAATATTATATTCGTAGTAGTATTAATTTCTTTATAATTACTATTAAATACTACTAAATAATGATTTTATATTTAAGGGGTACACTTGTATGCCAACTTGTATCGAAGTTGGAAGTCGCAGTTTCATTATAAATGTTAATAACAATTTAATAAAATAAATAAATACAAATATTAGTGAAATTACAAAGTAGTTATTTAATTCGGAATGCGCATTTCAACTCGTGGGAAATTTGATGAAATAATGATTTGATATTTAAGGGGTACACTTGTATGCTAACTTGTATCGAAGTTGGAAGTCGCGGTTTCATTACAAATGGAAAAAAAAATGTTTTTTTTATTAATAAAAATTAAAAAAATAAATAAATACAAACATTAGTGATATTACAATGTAGTTATTTCACTTGGAATGCGCGTTTCAACTCGTGGGAAATTACTGTTTAATATAAATACTCAAATCATGACCTACAAATTTTGTCTGTTAAGTAATAGTTAACTGACTGATTTTATATGATTTAAATGTTTTCTGTCCTTTTTGTAGTTTGTATTTTTGTGCTCATGGTATGCTAGGTACTCCAAGCTGTGACCCGAGATGTATGCCATTCTATTTGACTTATTGAATAAAGAATGAATTAATATATATATATATATATATATATATATATATATATAATACCAATAAGAATAATAATATTAATTGAATAATAATAATAATAATAAATTTAATAATGATAGATAGACCTAATCAAATAACTCAATATTATGACATTTGGATCAATAATATAACAATATAATAATATATGGAAACTTAATACTTTGCTACAACAATTATTTATATATTATTACTATGATTATGGCTAATAGGGCCCACTAATAATATTGATAGTAATAACAATAATAATTATAATAACAATTATAACAACAATATAATCATAATTCGAATAAATTGTTTTGAGAAAATGGCCACGAAATGTTAATTCATTGCTTTAGCTATATTCTTGACCTTAGGAATTGCCCTCTTTATCTTAATATTTCATTCGAAGAAATCGGAAGGGGCTTGTGGAGCAGTACACAACGTTGCGTCCGTTTAACGGATGTCCACACCTATAGCCTTGCTAGTAAAAGATGCTTCGTTCTGACCTTCACTGGACGCTTCCGGTTGGTCAACCACTCGAATTATTGACGTGATTCCATTTAAAAGCAGATATGACAAAGAAATGCTTTTCTACCTACTCTCGATTATGACGAATAGAAGCGGGTCACTTTGACACATGTCCATCAAATTGATTGATGGTCCATTTTAACCTTCAAAACCGTTATTCCCTGGATAATTAGACAGTTAGTGTCCAGGAATACTAATTCAATATTGAGTTATACAACACCTGTAGGATAATACAATCAGCTTAGATTCGTTTGCTTACGAAGAAACAAAGTCATACCTGTACTGTACCTTCTTATACATTATAATTTCACGCCGTCATACATAGTCACGTGGTAATCTGTGTTCACCTGGTACCCATAATTCCACATGAAAACGCGTCCTTAAAATAAACCAGTAAACGCATTTTAAAATAAATGCATTTTTAAAGTAAACGCTTCTTAATTTTCAATTATTCCTTTGTTTTCTCTCACCGATAGTTGATATGCCTAATAAGTAAATAAATATGCATACTACATTGCTACAGTAACTAAGCATCTATCAGCTCATGTAATGCGTTAAAGAACTAAACTAATAAATCTAAAGCGATGAAATTATATCTCTATAGACTATTTAAGCACAACAGAGACTATTCAAAATTCCTAAAATCAAATAACGTTCATTGACATAGAACCTGCATATTCCTTTCACAATCTTTAATCTTTTAATATCAAATCTTATCCGAAATCTTTTACCTAACCCCACATAATCCGAAAGGATCCGAAATGTATTTCGAACAATAATCGCAATTAAATCGGTTTATCATATGCATTCTTAGTATAGACTTCAAAGATATCGATTTATTCACACAAAATTATTTATATCGTTCAAAGAAGCAGAATCTCGTTAATAAAAAATATATAATTATCGAGTAAGATACGAGTATATTACTGTCTAATGGCTATTTCCCGGCTTTGGTGTAAAAAGCGTTCTCAAACATATTCATTTCACACATACGAGTTTTAGTAGCCTACATTTGAGGGAACATAATCCCCGTAAGTACTATCTTTGTTGCGGACCGTTAATGACAACAACACATATTGAAGCATTTGGATTATGATAAGCCCTTCGTCTGACCCAATCCTAATCCGTATCAGTACTTTATTGTCGAGAAATACGGCTGTTAACCTTGGCCTATATCCACAGGGA